CTAATTTTTATATTTTTAGTAGAGACGAGGTTTCACCATGTTTGCCAGGCTGGTCAAACTCCTGACCTCAGGTGATCCGCCCACCTCAGCCTCCCAAAGTGCTGGGATTACAGGTGTGAGCCACCTCATCCAGCCTACATGTGGTGGATTAAGTAAACTACTCCCATTTCATATTTCCCTAGCTCTGTATAGATTAATCTTTTTCTGCAAGTGGGCTGGTTTAAGGAGGAAATGCTTAGGGACCACTTCATAAGAATTGTATTGTGCATCTGTGTGTGAACATTGTTTTAACATTTCTCCATCTGTAAAAGATTTCACTTAGTAAATAAGTATAAGAAAAAATGCCTTGCCGTGAGAATGAGAGGTAAAGAGTGGAATGAAGAATGTTCTTAGCCGGTGCAGTGGCTCACGCCTGTAATGCTAGCACTTTGATGGATCATTTGACATTAGGAGTTGGAGACCAGCCTACCAAATATAGTGAAACCCTGCCTGTACTACAAAAATTAGCCAGAAATCACCTGAACTTGGGAGGTGAAGGTTGCAGTGAGCCGAGATCACACCACTGCACTCCAGCCTGGGCGACAGTTTTTGAGTATTCTTTGAAACTCCCGTCTCAAAAGAAAAAAAAACAATGTTATAAAGCAGGGATTTCCCACCCCCTGGCTACAGATCAATATGGCTTCATAGCCCATTAGGAACCAGGCCACTGAGCAGGAGGTGCGGGTGGGGGTGGGGCAAGCATTACCGCCAGAGTTATGCCTCCTGTCAGATCAGTGGTGGCATTAGATTCTCATAGAAGCATGAACCCTATTGTGAACTGTGCATGGAAGGGACCTAGGTTGCATGTTCCTTATGAGGATTTAATGCCTGATCATCTGAGGTGGAACATTTTCGTCCTGAAATATCCCCCTACTGCTGCTGTCTGGAAAAATTGTCCTCCAGGAAAGCAGACCCTGGTGCCAAAAAGATTAGGGACCACTGTTCTAAAGGATCTCACTCAGAATATTGGGGTAGACAGAGTGAAAGTGAAGGGTTAGAAATGTAGAAATGCTTTGTGAAAAGTTCTTTCGTTTCTCACGGTCAATAGAATAGCTTCTGCATTGGGATCCCTTTGGCTTGTTTGCCATGTACTTTGTCAGATACAGATTAGGTATAATTGGAAATGTCATTTCTCCAGCCACAGTAGCAGCTGCAGCTTGGAGGGATGGGAAAGCTAGTTGATTTCCTAGCTTGGGAAGAGCATTGCTTATCATCTGCAATTTTTAAATTTGTTATTCATGAAATTATGTTTCGGTTCCTGTGTTACTAAATCACTTTCCTTTTGTGTTGGTATAAGGAGGGAAAGAGGAAGTACTTACATTTTTGCTTGGCTCCTTATTTAGTCATCTACCTCCTGACCTTATCACTACCAACACTGCCCCCAACATTCTTCTCTAAAACCATCATGGAGTTTCTCAATTGCAAAAACATTAATCCCAGCACTTTGGGAGGCTGAGGTGGGCAGATCGCTTGAGCCCAGAAGTTCAAGACCAGCCTAGGCAACATGGCAAAATCCCATCTCTACAAAAAATACAAAATATTAGCCTGGCATGGTGGTACCTACCTGTAATCCCAGCTACCCAGGAGACTGAGATGGAAGAGATCACCTGACCTCAGGAGGTAGAAGCTTAACCTTAGTGTATTTTACTCTTTTGTAAAAACAGCTTAAAACACAAACACATTGTATGACTGTACAAAAATATTTTCTTTCTTTATATCCTTATTCTGTAAGATTTTTTCTATTTTTAATTTTTTTCAACTTTTTTTTTTTTGAAGACAGGATCTTGCTCTGTCACCCAGGCTAGAGATTATGGCACAATCTTGGCTCTCTGCAACCTCCACCTCCTTGGTTCAAGGAATCCTCCCACTCTTCAGCCTCACGAGTAGCTGGGACAGCAGGAGCCTACCACCACACCTGGCTGACTTTTGTATCTTTTTTGGTAGAGAGCAGGTTTTGCCATGTTGCCCAGGCTGGTCTCAAACTCCTGGGCTCAAGGATCCACCCTTCTTGTCCTCCCAAAGTGCTGGGATTACAGGTATGGGCTACTGCTCCTAGCACTTTTTTGTTAAAAACTAAGACACACAAACATTAGCCTATGCATACACAGAGTCAAGATTATCAATATTACTGTCTTCCACCTCCACATCTTGTCCCACTAGGAAGTTTTCAAGGGCAGTACCATACAAGGAGTTGTCATCTATGCTAACAATGCCTTCTTATGGGATACCTCCTGAAGGACCTACCTGAAGGTATTTTAGTTAGCTTTTTTTTTTGACACCACTATTTGAGGTCAAAGGATACAGTTATCTTTTTTCTTTTTTTTTCTTTTTTTTATTTTTACTTGCCATCCAGTAACAACCTTTTTTCTTTTTCATAAGTAAAAGTGACCAGGCACAGTAGCTCACATCTGTAATCCCAACACTTTGAGAGGCTGAGGCGGGCAGATCACCTGAGGTCAGGAGTTTGAGACCAGCTGAGCCAACATGGTAAAATCTCATCTCTACTAAAAATACAAAAATTAGCAGGGCATGGTGGCAGACTCCTGTAATCTTAGCTACTTGGGAGGCTGAGGCAGGAGAATTGCTTGAACCTGGGAGGCGGAGGTTGCAGCGAGCCAAGATCACGCCATTGCACTCCAGCCTGGCAGACAACAGCGAGACTGAGTCTTAAAAAAATAATAAATAGGCCGGGCGCGGTGGCTCAAGCCTGTAATCCCAGCACTTTGGGAGGCCGAGGTGGGCGGATCACGAGGTCAAGAGATCGAGGCCATCCTGGTCAACACGGTGAAACCCCGTCTCTACTAAAACTACAAAAAGAAATTAGCTGGGCATGGTGGTGCGTGCCTGTAATCCCAGCTACTCAGGAGGCTGAGGCAGGAGAATTGCCTGAACCCAGGAGACGGAGGTTGCGGTGAGCCGAGATCACGCCATTGCACTCCAGCCTGGGTAACAAGAGCGAAACTCCGTCTCAATAAATAGATAGATAGATAGATAGATAGATAGATAGATAGATAGATAGATAGATAGATAAATAAATAAAAAGTAAAAGTACATTTTAAAATAATTAAATGTATGGTATAGTAAATATATAAACCAGTTGCATAGTCATTTATAAGCATATGTTCTGTACATAAGTGTATATACTGTATTATATGACTGGTAGTGCAGCAGGTTTGTTTACACCGGCATCACCAGAAACACATGAGTAATGCATTACACTAGGTGATTGAAATTTTTCAGCTCCGTTATAATGTTAAAGGACCACCATCATATATATGCAGTCCATCATTGACCAAAATTGTATTATGCAGCATGTGGCTCTATATTGCCTGTATTTTTTGGCTTACTGCAAACAGTGCTGATATGAGCAACCTTATAAATGTTACCTGATACATATATATATAAGAATAAGAAATCTGTATGATGTAAGTCTATGAGTGATATGATTGGGTATTTTTAGCTTCAACCTTTTAAGATAGGTAATGCCAAACTATTTTCTAAAGCAATTGTACCTGTTTATTTTTCTTATAATGTTTTGTGAAATCAAGGGGAAATGATTTCCTTTCTCTAACTCTAGTTGAATTCATGCATCTTAATAAAGGTAAAATACTTGTCACAGATGATAATGTTTTATTTTTGTAGGACTTTGCTGCTATTTGAACATAGTGACATTGTTGTCATTTCACTACTCAGTGTTTTGTTCACCAGCTCTGGAGGAGGACCAGCAAAGGTAGAATTTCCCATTATCATTTACATTAACATTTCTAATTGGAAATGGAAAGTATGTATGTCAAATATTATCCAAAAGAATAAAATCTTATTTTTCACCATTTAAAAGGATGCAGGGAGGCCGAGCATGATGGCTCACACCTATAATCCCAGCACTTTGGGAAGCCGAGGTCGGTGGATCACATGAGATCAGGAGTTTGAGACCAGCCTGGCCAACATGGTGAAACCCCATCTCTACAGAAAATACAGAAATTAGCTGGGCATAGTGGTGGGCATCTGTAATGCCAGCTGCTCGGTAGGCTGAGGCATGAGAATCGCATGAACCCAGGAGGNCCCAGGAGGCAGAGGTTATAGTGAGCCAAGATCATGCCACTGCACTCCAGCCTGGGCAATAGAGTGAGACTCAGTCTCAAAAAAAAAAAAAAAAATGCAGGGGCTTTTTCTGCTGGTTTTATATTTTTCTCATAAATTTTTGTGTTTTGTTTTTGAAGAATTCTGTAGGTTTACAAAAATAGATATTTGTAAAAACATAATGCAATAATCTGTAGATGGAGAAATTTCTGAACATAAAAACAGTGGAAAATGATTTTGAAATGATTATAGAGTCCTAGGAAGTTGCAAAAATACTACAGAGAGAACCCTTACCCTTCATTTAGTTTTCCCCAAAGGTAACTTCTTAACCAACTCAAGTACACTATCAAAACCAAGCAATTCCTAGTATTTCACATCACAACAGGGTGACTATAGTCAATAATAATTTAATTGTACATTTAAAATAACTAAAAGAGTATAATTGAATTATATGTGACACAAAGGCTAAATGCTTGAGGGGATGGATACCCCATTTTAGGTGATGTGATTGTACACATTGCATGTCTATATCAAAACATCTGATGTACACATATACCTACTCTGTGCCCACAAAAATTAAAATCAAAAATTAAAAAAAAAAAAAAAAACAGGAACTTGACATTGGTGCAATCCATAGACCTTATTCATATTTTACCAGTTTTACATATGATTGTGTGTGTGTATGTATGCATGTAGGTCTATGAAATTTTGTCATGTGTATAGATTTGTGTAACCATCATTACAAGCAAGAAGAGAACTGATGCATCACCACAACAGTCTCTTTCATGTTGTACTCATGCACCTTTCCCCCAACCCCACTGCTCATTCTTAATCCCTGTAAATCATTTTTGGAAAATAACTAAAAACTTGTTAAATTTAAATTATAATGAACACTTATTTATCCAACATTTTGCCACCTAAGCATTCCTATTCATCCTAAGTGATTCAAGTATTATCCTTTTGTCAAATGAGTTACCAACCTACAATTCCAAACTGTTAGGACTATATAGTGTTTCTCTTTTACAGAATTAAATACTTCCAATGCACAGTGCATTTTCCTAGACAGAGGAAAGGAGAAATAAAGACAAATAAGGTGTAATAGTAAAGCATGGGCCACTATTTAATCCTTCCCTTCACTTCAAAATACATTTCAGGTGGATTGAAGAGTTTTGTGAGCTTACAAAAATAGATATTTGTAAAAACACAGAATAAAATATGTAGATGGAAACAATTCTGAGCATAAAAGCAGTGGGAAAAAAAATCACAGAGAAAACTCACTATGTTTGGCTTCATAATGATTATAAACTTAGTATAACAGAAATCAGTGTGTAAACAAAAAACAGCAACAAAAATTGCCACAAATAAGTTTTACATTTCTTTCAAAGTATAAATCACCCATTTCATTTTAAAAAAATGCTTAAGATCCTTGGCAGAAAATGAGCAAAAAACAGGGAAAGACAACTCACGAAAGAAATAAAAATAACTTAAAAACATAAAAAAAAAAAAAGTTTTCCTGCTTAAGTAGCTAGAAATGAGAGTATAAATCTTGCATATCCTCTCATTAGTGTGAGAAATGAATTAGGGTGTCAGTCCAGGACTTAATGATTTTTTTTTCTTAATTACGAAGCACTACAAAATTCTGTTGCCTTCTTTGTTAACAAAAGATTAAACTGTGTTTTCTGTGGTTGATTGTTGTTGATGTCACCATATTTTAACTCTATGAAAATTTAAGAAATTTTAAATTGCATGATTTTTCTTAGGTGTTTTAATACCCACCACACTAACAGAGAATTTATCCATTGTAGTGGTAATCACATTATAAATAGAAGAATATCCTCACTTTGTATTCTGAACTTTTATAGAAGTATTGTATTATGCTTCCATTATACGTATATGTAATATACTTATGTATCTATATATAATTGGTGTTTTTTTTGTGTTTTGTTTTGTTTTGAGAGTCTTGCTGTCACCCAGTTCGGAGTGCAGTGGCGCAATCTCAGCTCACTGCAACCTCCACCTCCCAGGTTCCAGTGATTCTCCTGCCTCAGCCACCTGAGTAGCTAGGATTACAGCTGTGCATCACCACATCCAGCTAATTTTTGTATTTTAAGTAGAGATGGGGTTTCACCATGTTGGTCAGGCTGGTCTCCAGCTCCTGACTTCATGATCTGCCTGCCTCGGCTGGGATTACAGGTGTGAGCCACTGCACCAGGACAATAATAGGTATTTTACAAGTATATGTATCATACAAGATGTATTATACCTGTAAATTTGTAAATATAGAATGTATAGTAATGCTATTTAGCCAAGGGCAGTGGCTTATGCCTGTAATCCCAGCACTTTGGGAGGCCAAGACAGGCAGATCGTCTGAGGTCAGGAGCTTGAGACCATCCTGGTCAACATGGTGAAACCCCGTCTCTACTAAAAATACAAAAATTAGCTGGGCGTGGTGACACGCACCTGTAATCCCAGCTACTCGGGAGGCCGAGGCAGGTAATCACTTGAACCCGGGAAACAGAGGTTGCAGTGAGCCAAGATCACACTACTCCACTCCAGCCTGGGCAACAGAGTGGGACTCTTCTCAGAAAAAAAAACAAAAGAATATATGGTAATGCTATTTAGATGGCTTTTGTACCTACCATTCTGAAATATTTACATAAACTAAACTATTATGTACTTTCTATAATTTTCTTTTATCAAAACCTTTTTCCTCAGCCTGGACAACATGGCTAGATCCCATGTCTACAAATAAAAAATTGACCCATGGGTGGCACATGCCTGTGGTCCCAGCTATTTAGTAGGCTGAGGCAAGAGGATCGCTTGAGCCCAGGAGTTGGTGGCTGCAGTGAGCTTTGTTCACACCACTGTACTCCAGCCTGGGCAACAGCGAGACTTGTCTAGAAAAAGATAAAACAAAACCTTTTCCCTGGGATGAGAACATAAATTTTAAGTTTATCAGCTTTGTAAGTACTTTATACCTTTACTAGATCTTAGAAATGACTTTGCTGATTTTAGTGTGCTCTCTGGATTATTTTTCTCTAGAGGAGTAGTAGCTAGAATTTTCTCTATTTCTTGCACATTGTAGAGTAAAATAAGTTTCTACTAATTTTTCTTTAGCTACTTGGACTTTTCTTTTTTTTTTTTTTTTTTTTTTGAGACGGAGTTTCGCTCTCATTACCCAGGCTGGAGTACAATGGCGCGATCTCGGCTCNTCACCGCAGCCTCCGCCTCCTGGGTTCAGGCAATTCTCCTGCCTCAGCCTCCTGAGTAGCTGGGATTACAGGCACGTGCCACCATGCCCAGCTGATTTTTTGTATTTTTAGCAGAGACGGGGTTTCACCATGTTGACCAGGATGGTCTCGCTCTCTTGACCTTGTGATCCACCCGCCTCGGCCTCCCAAAGTGCTGGGATTACAGGCGTGAGCCACTGCGCCCGGCCCTTACTTGGACTTTTTAACCAGAAGTAAAGTAGCATTTCGGAAGACTGATTCTGTGAACAGCAACAATTTGTGCATAGTAATATGCCTAACCATGTTAGCAAGGAGATAATTGACATTATCATTAGTTTGTATCTCTTTGATATCTTACTGTTAATACTGTAAGCTTATATAAGAGCTTTAATGTCAGATGTTCTTTCAGTTTTTTAATGCATTTTTGTAAATGCTTACATAAGAAAATGTCTTTCTTTAGCATTTATGTCGTTACCATCTTAAAAATCAACCCTTGAAAAAGTCACCTTGATGTTATTTTCTTTATTTTCAGACAAGGGGAGCTGCTTTTTTCATTATTGCTGTGATCTGTTTATTGCTTTTTGACAATGATGATCTCATGGCTAAAATGGCTGAACACCGTATCCTTTTGGCATAGATGAGAGTTATTTAAAGGCAGAAAAGTAGAAGACTGGAACAATGGAAAAAGAAAAGATGAGTCAATTAAACTGATCAATGATGAATGAAACTTCCATAGATTAATGTAAATATTCTAAATCAATATTCAAATGATGAACAAACTCATTCTAAGTTAAATATTTTATAGCATCTCAGTATCATCTACAGTACCCTAAATTTTCAGAAATGTAAAGATATTAAAAGAATATTATGAATGTACTGGTGCTAAAAAAAAAAAAAAAAGTGATTTGCCACTCAGTCAATGTGTTTGCTCCCATATAATTTAACAATTTAAATGCTTGTAAATGAAAAACCTTTGGCGTCTTCTTGCCTGAAAGAAAAGGTTCAAATTCCTTTACCTAGTATTCACTGTCTTGCTCTAAATTATTATCTCTAGCTCAGCCCCAACTCTTCTCTTCCAGAAACCCAGCTTTCCAGTCAAATATGTCTACTCATTTTACTCTACAAACATGCCTTTTTTTCTATTTTCTATTCATACATCTTAAAGGGCAGCCTTAATTCCACTGGACAGGAGTGGTCCAAGGGGATTCCTTGCCCTTGTCCCTTTGTTGTACTTATATGTATGCAATATGTATTTTAGAGGTTAACTACTAAAATCTGGCACCTTTATCTTAAGCACTGTTATTGTTTTGGAGACAACAAAAGAAATACAGACATTCCAATTTATAAATGAGGTCCTGGAATTAAATGTTGGATTGTTTTATTTTGCTTTGTTTCTAAGTGAAACACATTATTGAAGGTAATTAGATTTGGGGCCTCCAGATTAGTCTATATGCAATCCAGAATAATGTAACTAAAATTTCAGGAGAACTTGGGATTTCAAAGAGTGACATTTTGGAATTTTTTCCTTTACTTCACCTCACTTAGCTGAAGGACATCATGACAGTGCTCTAACTCATATGCTTTACACAGCCATTGCCTTCTTAGGTGTGGCAGATCACAAGGTATGTTTTCTTTATTGCTAACAGGATCAAAAGATTCTGAAAAGTTGTAGCAACTATAACTATAAAAGTACATTTAAAATAAATTATTGGCCGGGTGCAGTGGCTCAAGCCTGTAATCCCAGCACTTTGGGAGGTTAAGGCAGGCAGATCACCGGAGGTTGAGAGTTCAAGACTACCCTGACCAATATGGAGAAACCCCGTCTCTACTAAAATTACAAAATTAGCCGGGCGTGGTGTTGTATGCCTATAATCCCAGCTTCTCAGGAGGCTGAGGCAGAAGTTTCGGTGAGCCACGCCATTGCACTCCTGCCTGGGCAACAAAAGCGAAACTGTCTCAAAAAATAAAATTATCAGCATGTATAATATTGCCTGCCATTTAAGTAGTTAAGTAATTAAGTATATGGGAAAAATATACTAGTTTCATTTTTTTTAAATACTATATTAGCCAGGTGTGTTGGTGTGTGCCAGTAGTCCCAGCTACTTGGGAGGCTAAGACAGAAGGAGCTCCTTGAGCACAGGAAGTTGAGGCTTCAGTGAGCTGTGATCATGACACTGTACTTCAGCCTGGATGACAGGGCAAGACCTCATCTCAGGGGGGAAAAAAAAAACAACACATGTATTTAAGGATTGAATATTGGACTGTGTGTGTTTCTAATGAGACTTAATCTAATTTTACTCACAGGGTGGAGTATTATTGCTAGTACTGGCTTTGTGTTGTAAAGTTGGTTTTCATACAGCTTCCAGAAAGCTCTCTATCGACGTCGGTGGAGCCAAACGTCTTCAAGCTTTATCTCATCTTGTTTCTGTACTTCTCTTGTGCCCATGGGTCATTGTACTTTCTGTGACAACTGAGGTAAGATAAGAGCAAGAATTTATTGCTATTAAATTTTTAACTTACTATATTCAATAAATTGTATTTTAATTTGATGTCGAAAGAAGCTTAAATTGTCTTTGCTTTTTCTTTGTAATTTTTTTTTAATTTGAAGTTAATTTTATTGTTTATAAGAAATACAAATCAAATGCTGTTACATTTACACAGCCCTCACATACCCATGGCCCAAAGGAATCATTTGAAGAAACAGCAGTTAACCATGTGCCAGACTTAAGGATTGCATGTCACCTAGTGCTTATTGAACTATTACACAATAATGCTTTTGTTTTTTAAAACTTTGGAGAATACTGAGAAAATGTACCAATATCTTATAGCTTTTTTATGTTGACATATTATGAATCATACTGAATCATGTTTATATATTAAAAGGTTAACAGAAACATCTTGTAAGATGTGGACTTTATACATATATAGTCTTGACTGTTCTTTTTTTTAATTTCTAGAGTAAAGTCGAGTCTTGGTTTTCTCTCATTATGCCTTTTGCCACGGTTATCTTTTTTGTCATGATCCTGGATTTCTATGTGGATTCCATTTGTTCAGTCAAAATGGAAGTTTCCAAATGTGCTCGTTATGGATCCTTTCCCATTTTTATTAGTGCTCTCCTTTTTGGAAATTTTTGGACACATCCAATAACAGACCAGCTTCGGGCAATGAACAAAGCAGCACACCAGGAGAGCACTGAACACGTCCTGTCTGGAGGAGTGGTAGTGAGTGCTATATTCTTCATTTTGTGTAAGCATTTTCCCCCTTGTTCTTGTTTTAAAAAATTTCTATTTATGGATTTTGACGGTCAAATCCGTCAAAAGATAGATTGGAAGAATTCGGGAAGTTCTTCAGTGGTTGCATTTAGTGCTGACAGTGGTTGCATTTAGTGCTGACAGTTACTGTGTTGGTTTTGGTAGCTTAAGCTTCTAAAATTTAAACAATATTCTTTTTTTTCTCTCTGTAGCTGCCAGCATCTTATCATCTCCCTCTAAGAGAGGACAAAAAGGTACCCTGATTGGATATTCACCTGAAGGAACACCTCTTTATAACTTCATGGGTGATGCTTTTCAGCATAGCTCTCAATCGATCCCTAGGTTTATTAAGGAATCACTGAAACAAATTCTTGAGGAGAGTGACTCTAGGCAGATCTTTTACTTCTTGTGCTTGAATCTGGTAAGATTTTTAAATGTTAATTGGCATATCCTAAAAGCATGATATTTTAATTTTGACAGTTTTAGTATAAGTTTAGTACTTCCCAAATTTCTGGTAATAAGATGGGCTAAAATTTAAATTTTTCTAAGTATAATAGCAAGATTACGGGATCATCTTCAGACTACTTAGGCAGTCCTTAAGGCATGAGCCACCATGTCCAGCCACTTAAGCAAACAATTTGTGAGGCATTTTAGAAGAATTGATTTACTATCTTCTTTCAAATCAGTAAATATAGTAGCATCTAAAGACTTCTGATAACTGAGAGGTTCTCACTATTAGCAATCAGTGTTACAAACCACTGATTGCTAACATTTTATAACCTAGTTTATTATTTTGTATAGACATATAAGTAACTCTTTTTAAATAGTTTGTAAGTGGATTTATCTTAGTTTCTTACAATTTGTGTGAAATAGGATTTCTAATATAAGTGATAGTTAAATATTTAAACTATTATAACGGATCTTCAAGTAGGTTTGGATAATTTAGGGTTAAAATCCTCCTAATTGAAACATAGTTCCCAACATACTCCTCCTTTTTTTTTTTTTTTTTTTTTTTTTTTTTTTTTTTTTTTTTTTTTTTTTTTTTTTTTTTTTTTTTTGTGGAATTATTCTACGGCGTGTTGACAAATAGTCTGGGCCTGATCTCAGATGGATTTCACATGCTCTTTGACTGCTCTGCTTTGGTCATGGGTCTTTTTGCTGCCCTGATGAGTAGGTGGAAAGCCACTCGGATTTTCTCCTATGGGTAGGTACATTGACTATGGAGCTGATATATCTTAAGTGCAAATTTCATCTTAAGGAATAGAATTATATTACTTTTAATACAAATAATTTCCAAATCTTCATTTTAAAAAAATGTGAAGTAAATAAGGGGATGATATGAACCAAGCATTTGATAAATACTGGATGGAAGTGAACTCAAGATTATGCTCCCTTGGCCAGGCATGGTAGCTCATGCCTGTAATCCTAGCACTTTGGGAGGCTGAGGTCGTTGGATCACCTGAGGTCAGGAGTTTGAGACCAGCCTGGCCAACATGGTGAAACCTCATCTCTACTAAAAATACAAAAATTAGCCAGGTGTGGTGGCCAGCACCTGTAATCCCAGCTACTTGGAAGCTGAGGCAGGAGAATCATTTGAACCTATGTGGTGGAGGTTGCAGTGAGCCGAGTTGGGCCATCATACTCCAACCTGGGCAACAGAGCAAAACTTTGTCTCCAAAAAAAAATTTTTTAAAGCATATATATATGCGCTTCCAGGGAGCAAACATCAAATAAAATCTTGAGATCTTTGTCTAGCGTGTTTCTTTGAGGTAATGGAATATCTATAATCATTCACATCTTCTTTGTTAAAAAGAATATTCAAAATTTGAAGTTGCTATACATGAAAATATCCTTTCATTCAACAAATAATTCAATAATTAGAGTCTCTTTTTGTGTAAAACCTACTCTAAATTAATAAATTTGGCTTTTATTCTCAACTGTTTATATGAGCCAAAAATACAAATAATTTTGGTACAGAGCAGAATCTGTATGCCATGACAGAAATACAGAGCACCTCAAAGGTTTAAAGGAGGAATAAATGACCTCTTACTAGGAAATTAGGAAAGGCTTTGTATAAGAGAGACAATAGGCCAGGCGTGGTGGCTCACACCTGTAATCCCAGCACTTTGGGAGGCTAAGGTGGGCGGATCAGCTGAGGTCAGAAGTTGAAGACCAGCCTGCCCAACATGATGAAACCCCAACTCTACTAAAAATGAAAAAAATTAGGTGTGGTGGCACACACCTGTAGTCCCAGCTACTCAGGAGGCTGAGGCAGGAGAACGCTTGAACCCAGGAGTTGGAGGTTGCAGTGAGCTGAGATCGTGCCACTGCACTCCAGCCTGGGCAACAGAGCAAGACTCTGTCTAAAAAAAAAAAAAGAAAAAGAAAGTAAAGAAGGATTTTGATGAATATATAAAATTTTAACAAACATATATGTAGGACCTTCTGGCACTAATATGATATTTAAAATATTGCTAATTTTCTAATATTATTAATTACTTAGTAGTTTGAAAATTTGGACTTGGTTCCTCATTTATAAAGTTTATACTTTAAAAATGTTTGTCATTTTTATTTTTGTTTTTTTAGGTATGGCCGAATAGAAATTCTGTCTGGATTTATTAATGGACTTTTTCTAATAGTAATAGCTTTTTTTGTGTTTATGGAGTCAGTGGCTAGATTGATTGATCCTCCAGAATTAGACACTCACATGTTAACAGTAAGTCTTTTTATTTTCCTATTTGGATTTCTAGTCATACTTATATAATTTTTTTCTGTCCTAAACTTTAACTGTTTGCAGTTATTGCGCTAAGGTTTTATTTTATTTTTTACTTATATCAACATAACTTCCTATCTTGCTGTTTACATTTATATTGCTTCCTCTTAAATTCTCTTTTTTTTTGAGACAGAGTCTCTTTTCTACGCTGGAGTGCGATGGCACGATCTTGGCTCACTACAACCTCCACCTCCCCAGCTCAAGCAATTCTCATGCTGCAGCCTCCCGAGTAGCTAGGATTACAGGCATGTGCCACCAAGCCCAGCTAATTTTTGTATATTTTGTAGAGACAGGGTTTCGTCATGTTGACCAGGCTGGTCTCGAACTACTGACCTCAAGCAATCCTCCCGCCTTGGCATCCCAAAGTGCTGGGACTACAGGCACAAGCCACTGTGCCCAGCCAGCTGTAGCAACTTTTAATGTTCTCCTTATACCACCAAAGCTTTACATGTGCTATTTCTTGTAGTTGGCATGTCCTTTCCTTACTTCTGCCCTCAACCTCTGTCAAGATTTTGCTTATGTATCTCCTCTAGTAGAATTCTTTTTTTTTTTCTTTTCTTTTCTTTTCTTTTGAGATGGAGTCTTGCTCTGTCACCCAGGCTGGAGCGCAGTGGCGTGATCTCGGCTCACTGAAACCTCTGCCTCATGGGATCAAGCAATTCTCCTATCTCAGCCTGCCAAGTAGCTGGGACTACAGGCCCACCATGCCCAGCTGATTTTTTGAAATACTTTCTTTTAATCCCTCTCTTCTCTCCTCAAAGTTTGTTAGATTCCCCTTCTCAGTATTCTCATTATGTTTTGTGCATTCTTCTTTTAGAAACATTGAGTTGCAGTTATTTAATTTGTCATTCTTCCACAATTAAGATATAAGTATCTTCAGGACCTGAATTTTGTATTGTTAACTCTTACGTTCTAGCTTGTAGTAGGAAATCTGTTAGTTGTTGAATGACTAAAAGCAGCTCTGAGGCTTGCTGGTGGAAGCATACATTAGTAAAATGTTTCTAGAATAGAGTTTGGAAAAAATAGACTTTTTTTGGATTTTAAATGCTTGTATCCTTTGACAATTAGTATTTATCATACACAAGCATTCACACAAATATATAGAAGAACATGATTCAGGCCAGATGTGGTGGCTCATTCCTGTAATCCGAGCACTTTGGGAGGCCAAGGCGGTTGGATTACTTGAGGTCAGGAGTTTGAGACCAGCCTGGTCAACATGATGAAACCCCATCTCTACCAAAAATACAAAAATTAGCCAGGCATAGTGGCACATACCTGTAATCCCAGCTACTTGGGAGGCTGAGGCAGGAGAATCACTTGAACCAGGAGGCAGAGGCTGCAGTGAGCCCAGATTGTGCCACTGCACTCCAGCCTGGGTGACAGAGTGGGAATC